ACAGAACGGCCCGTTGGTCGATTAAGCATCCCAATGTACATCATATACATTGTACACGATGGAATCATCCTCAGGCACCCAGTACTGGCGATCTTCGAGTTGCTTTCGGACGCTCACCGTGGTCGAACATGGCGCTTCAAATCGCCGCCGCTTTCCTCGCTCTGAGCACACTTGCCCACTCCGCCCGTCAAGACTATGACGTGCACAAAATCATCGAAGCGTTCCGGCGTCCCCGGTCAGACCTGACGATTCTTTGTGCTCACAGAGGCCTGAGGTAACACCATCCTGAAACTCACTCTACTCAGTCTCTAAATGGTGGTGCAGATGGAACGGCACAACCGAAAACTCGCACGACGCCTACTTCCGCGCCTCGCAAGCCGGCATCGAATGCATAGAAACTGACATCCATATCTCACTCGACGGCCAGCTTCCTATGATCCACGACAAAGGTTTGGGCCGCGAGACAGATGTGGGTGAGTTTACCGGGCGCGCGGCTTATAATCCGTACACCGGGCAAGGCTACAACCCCGCCGTCGCAGATCTAAATTTCACTGGGTTCATCGAGCATTTACACCTGCGCGATGAGGCGGGGCGAGTTCATGAAGAAACAGTCCCCACGCTGCCGGACATGGTGCAGAATATCCACAAGAACGGAGCGAATGTTGTTCTTCAGCTCGATTTCAAGGATAAAGAAGCTGTCGAGCCTGCATACTGGGCGCTCAAGAATCTGACCAACGCCGCCGGCGTGCCCGCGAACGAATGGTGCATATATAAACTGCAAGCTGCGTGGTGGCAGACGCCTGAGGAGCTGGAGGCGCAGGCGTGGATGAGAGATGCGCTGGAGAATGGCGTGCGGATTCCGTATATCCCCGTTTACCAACCGGCGGATGAGGGCGCGTTTGATACGTTGGCGTCGCTGAAGGCGTTCATGAGCACGAATTATACGATTAGTGCGGAGATTGAATTGTACTCGAAGGATGGGCCGGGACAGGAATTGGTGGATTGGGTAAGTGCCAGTCAGAAAAAGGAGGAATGTGAATACACTTTCAGCACTTCTGGGATCTTGTGAGTTCACTCCCAGCTTCCGATGCGCGGTATATTACTGACGACATGTCCAGCTTCGCAGACGGCGACTTCACCGTGCCCATCTTCTCGCCGCTTACAACATCGTTCTACGACACCGGGAATTTCTCGTTACCAAAGGATATCCGCTTCAACAACTCCGCGTATGCTTTTCAAGATAGCTCGATGCCGAAACTCCTCGACGTGTTGGTGGGCAACAAATCCGCCGACGGGCGCGATCATCGCAGTGACTTTGACTGGCTACTGCGCCAGGGCTTCAATTGGATTATCACCGACAACGCGGATCTCTGGCACACGGATCTCGAGAAACAGGGAAAGAGAAATATGCTAGACCTACTTCAGGACGGCAAGACGTGGAAAGATGGACGGAAGAATGGGTGGTATAAAAGGTTCTTTGGATAATCGACTAGACAATATTGGCTGCGTAGAATTTGATCGTGTCCGCAATAGCGTTGTGGATATTGGCAACCGCGTCTTCACCCTCTTTAGTTTTCTCTGGTCCAACTCCTTGGTCGATTTTCAAGAGTGTTGCGGCGCTGAATGTGTCATGGTCGCTCAGTAGTAGGGTCAAACTTGCAATGACGACGGGGACGAGGCCGCCTTGCTTGAATGCGTCGACTTTGGCTTTCAAGTCTTGAGTGGATTTGGGTATGGATACATTGACTAGTAACCCAATTAGCTCTCGCTTTCAAGCGATGTACTGAGGTACTTACCGGTGTCTACGACGGCATCAATGACATCCCGACTATCCTCCACGGTGAATGGAGAAGCGGCAAGGGCGTGCCGAAACCCTGCGCGGTTTACTCTATGGATTTCTGCGACGCCGAGGAGGACGGGCGTGCCTTCGACTAGCGACGTTGGCAATGGTACGCCTTGGTACGAGTTTATCGTCGCATCGAGCGCAAGCACTGCGTTGTGGATGTTAATCACATCTTGTCTAACTGTCTGTCCAGTTGGTAGAATATCGCGTGGAAGCGATGCCGCGAGAGCGATGGAGGGTAGAATTACGAAACGTGAGAAGAGCATTGTGACTGAATTGTCGTATACAGATCTTCCAGTTACGAGGCACGTTCGCTGTATTTGTACATCTCGAGTGAGGCTAGTGCAGCCGAGGTGGTCTGGAGGATCTACAGATCTACGTGCCTAGTGCACATCTACCGGGACTTAAGTCGAATAGCGCATGGTATGAGGGGATTAGACGTGCTTAGCATCGGAGCTGAATGATTTTTGGGGATAGCTCTGGGGAAAGTACTTGGCACGTGGAAGCGACACGTTCTCGGCCTTACGTGCGGAGAATACTTCGCACTTTTGCGTTTGCTGATGCGGTCTGTCACCGTCGCTAACGGGAAGCGCCGCGAAAGATAAGAGGCACAACTTGACTACGAGTTCGCCAGCTTGCCCAACGCGTCCCCTTCCACCCTCAATCCCACCCAGCCGTCCTTTTTGAAGGCGCCGATGACCTCACTCTGGTAGAACTGCAAACTCGGTTCATTCCAAGTCAGACAGCTCCATTCCAATCTCTTTCCTCCAATTTTCTCGACCTCTTGCGCAAGTGCCTTGAGAATGGCTACTCCATAACCCTTCTTCCTATACGCCGGCTTAACGAAGAGATCCCTCGAGGTAATATTCCCAGGTACGCCGGTCCACGTGCTATAGTTGTAAAAGTACAAAGCCCATGCCTGCGATTGTGCCATCGGGATCGAGTAAGGAGAAGGGTCTTTGCGTAGCCCTTCTGAGAAAGGAAGACGTGGAGGGGTCATAGTGCGAGAGGGTGCGTGTGAGGAGCTCATTGGTGGCTTTGACGGAGGAGGAAGCTTTCTCGTAATCGGCGAGTTCTTGGATCAGACCGAGAATGGTCGGAACATCTACGTCTGCTGAGAAAGTGCGCTGGATCTAGCGTGGTGGTAGACATACCGTCTCGCGTTGCGTGGCGAATTTGAGCCCCGTTTGATGCCATTGTGTTAGTACAGGTATTGGAGTCGATGCAGGGTTTGTTTGAGAATGATTGACGTAGACCTTGGGCGGGAAGAACTCTTATGAGTCTCGAGATGTCGTCAAAGTGTGGGGAGGCGCGCCCTACAAATGTCGGGAGGCGGCAGAATTTCCAATCGGCGTTCGGAACAGACTTCACCGCCCGCGGAAGTTACCGTTCTCGTCAATAATGCCGGCGGCAAGGCGCTGTTTCTTCCAAGCTTCGAGCTGCATGCGCATTGGATTGTCTTCGGGCAGTTGTTCAGTGAAGAAGGGGAAGCGTATGTATTCGCCCTTTTCGTTGCGTGGCTGAATGTCGAGTCCGGGCTCAGCTTTAAGCACATGCGCTTTGGGAGCAGGTGGTAGCCTTCCTTTCGCATCGACGCCAGAGAACAGCGACGGGTCTGTTGCAGCTTCATATACTTCTGGTCGGATGGCGTGAATGGGCTGGCCCCAAACGGCAACCCATTGCTTGCGCTCTGCACTGTATTCAACCTTGCAGCACAGTTGGAGGATCCTCGAGTAGAGTCGGCGCATGAACTTGGGGGTAATGTTGTGCGGACGCCAGATGCCATTCGGTCTGTCTGACTTGCTCAGTTTGCTCAGACTCATTCCCTGCAAGACTGCATGCAAACTGTCATCATAATCCGTAGCCTCTGGCAGTGGTCGAACCGGCACTCTTCGCTTGACCAGACTGACCCTCTCAGACCCCTCCACCATGGCTTGCATCTTGTCCCATTCTTCGGTCGGCAATGGTGGCAGAAAGCGCGTCATGGTCTCGGCATACCATCGTCGGACGTTGTTGCGCGCTCGCACAATGGGCATGGGGACGCATCCAAATGTTGTGCATGGGCGTCTTCATCGATGGTCTCTTCAGTTCCCGATTTATGGAAATACCGCGCTGGTGCTGAGACTTGAGGACAGCTCGGAGCCGCGAATAGCGGTCGGATATGTTCATCACATACATGCCGTTGGCCTCCTTCGGCGCATCGAGGTACTGCAGATACTTTTTGTTGCTGTAGTACATTTTCTGCAGCGGTGTACGCTCTAGCAGATCAGATGGTTTGACCATTCTACCACCGTCCGTGATGGGGTCAGGCTTCAACACATCACCCAGAAGCGCATATTTCCGCCTCCCTATGCGGCCGTAGGCGAAGAACAGCACCTTCTGCAGACAGGGTATTTCGCCTTGGTTGGCACGGCGCAGGTAGTGCAAGCCTTTCTGGGCCTTTTTCTGCACTTTGGTGGTGCGCTCAGCGATGATGCTCAGCTGGCGGCGTTTGAAGCTGCGGTGGCGGTACTTTCCCACGGCCTCGATGTCCATTGAAGCCGTTGCATTTTCGCTGGGTTGGTACGCTCTGAAGCGGTTCAGGATGTATCGGGCGAAGTACTGGCGGGCGACGGCATCGGGCAGGTACGTGGCTTCGCGCAGGAGAGCACGCAGCAAATGGATCGACTTGGCCTGCGAGGATGCCGTTGGAGACATGAAACAGAGGTGCACGACACAGACACGGACGGGTGGTGGTGAGCGGACGGCGCACACAAAGAGTGTCTCGGTGTGATTGGCCTGTCTCTTGCCTGTGCTCAGCCGAACCGAGACGCGTGAACGCGAAGATCCACCCTCGACCACGACGGCCAGCGGCCCAATTCACCCCCCCGCGCTGCAGCTCTCGACCCACGCCCCCCCATCATCGTCCCCTTCCCTATCCACGGG